ACAGTCATGTCTTTCAGGGTGCTGTTTTTCTTCCCATAAATGGTACCAAAAAATGAGCTGGCATTTGCTGCCATCTAGTGGCTAGTAAAATTTTCCAGCTACATGTGGGGTGTACTGTGGTGGGCAAAATAACGGAAATATTTAACAATATCAAGGACTTACTGTAATAAAGAGAAGTGGGAACCACTTTACAATAAGGCTCCCTTTTGCCACTTGTAAATGGTAGTTACTCAATAAAAAGACCTTACATAAGAACATAAGAAATTTACAAACGAGAGGAGGCCATTCGGCCCATCAAGCTCGTTTGGGGAGAACTTAACTAATAGCTCAGAGTTGTTAAAATCTTATCTAGCTCTGATTTAAAGGAACCCATGGTTTTAGCTTCCACTACACTAGCAGGAAGACTATTCCACACTCTAACTACACGCTGTGTAAAGAAGTGCTTCCTCAAATTTGTTTTAAAATGTTCTCCCGCTAATTTCCATTTATGGCCATGAGTTCTAGTATTTAGACTTATATTGAAATAGTCATTTGGCTGAACAGCATCCAGACCCGTTAGAATCTTATAGACCTGAATCATATCCCCCCTTAGTCTCCTTTGCTCAAGGTTAAACAGATTCAGTTCCGCTAACCTCTCCTCATAAGACATTCCTCTAAGACCAGGAATCATTCTCGTAGCTCTTCGTTGCACCTTTTCTAAGGCAGCAATGTCCTTCTTGAGGTATGGTGACCAAACCTGCACACAGTATTCTAGGTGGGGTCTTACCAAGGAATTATATATGTGTAACATCACCTCCCTTGACTTAAACTCCACACACCTAGAGATATAACCCAACATTTTGTTCGCCTTTTTTATTGCTTCCCCACACTGGCGAGAGTGGGACATGGAAGCATCAACATACATACCGAGATCTTTCTCGTAATCAGCTACCTTTATTTCAGTGGAACCCATAAAATATCTGTACTTTAACAGTTATAACAGTTATAACTAATAATTCAGTGTTATAACCTAATTAATAACCAGGTTATAAACCATTCATAAACTCTTTATATGTGTAGCCTTATTGAAAAACGGTACCAAGAAGTGTCACCCTTTGGCTTCAGACCTTCTTGTGATGCTATAATACAAGTTTTGGGTCACTCATCAGGGAATTTAAGCTACTGATCACAGGCACTGACCTGCCGAGGCCTTTGCACCCTGTACTTCTCAAATCGGTTCAATGATTTTGTGATGTAGTGACTTGGGAGGTTGGAGAAGATATTTTACTTGTCCTTGGTGCTCATGCAATCACTAAAATGTAACTATTTATTTACCATGAGGGAACAGTACCTGTCCCTGAAGTCACACAATCAAAGGAGCTCATGCATACCATTATGGATCTACCAGCATGTTTACCAGTTATCTTTCACCAGATATAATCCCAAATGGATGTAACAGAAATGGTGACATGTCGCTGGTCATATTTATATCCATTGCTAAAAGATTCAGGTTTTGTGCTTGGTACACTGGGGTTTGGATACAGGCAGACTTGGATTGGTCGCCTTGCCATTAATTCCAGTTGACAGTGTACATTCCTTTGCTGATTCAGTTCGGTGTTGATGTTTGAGGCTGCACTTTTGTGGTGGCCATCCATCTCTGTCGGTGAGCTCTGATTTGCCACCATTGTTCCTCTTTGCTGATTCAGTTGGTCTGTGTGCTGTCAGGATTTTTGAGACCATTCCCTTTGACATATTAAATAATTCTGTGGTTTTCGTGGCCAAGGCAGCCATAGTTCAGGCATCGACTCCTTTCAGCTCAGCTGCATTTATAATTGTAATTTAGTTACTTGTAAGTAATTTTTCATGTGGTGTTTTTAATATTTTGTCCACCTCCTGCATTATAGTAATGCATTACAGATAAACCATCCTATCAAAAGTGAAACAAAGTCTCACTCCAAGTTTCAAGGCCTAAGACTTACTTCCCATACATAAATGCATATCTATATTTGGAATGACATTAGGGCAAACTTTGCTTAAAAATAGCCAGATTGACTGCACTATACTCATACTCATTTTGGTTATATTCACAGGTAGACAATTTGTCTAGCGATTTCTGATCTAATCGCTTCTATTTGAAACACCAGAGGGGTGTCTGGGGTGGCACTGGACACCCCTGACATCCGATTGGCCACCCCGGGTGCCACCCCAAAATTTTATTTGCTGCTGGCAGTTCCTGATGCTGATTGACATCTCATTTGTCTAAAGAAGTTTTTGAATTTTGCCGGCAACGCTGCTCAAGCTATTTTCAAATCAAGGACGAGCCGAAGACAATAGCATGGTTTCAAGGTAAGACGAATAATAAAACATCATATTTGAAATACGTTTTATAGTTTATTGTAAGGTTTGATTGCTGAGTAACATTTATTATCCGCTGTGTAAGTTAACAGTTAACTTAATGAGATTAGAGAGATCAATTCACACTTTAGACAGTTAACGCTATACTTCATCTGTGCTAGTATTACATACACATACCATGTATTTAAGTTATTATATTTAATTTACGATGCTCAAATACTTTGCTAATATGGGGAAGTAATGTTAGGCTAGCTGTTTGTGAGTTAAATTTAGTTTAAATGGAATAGCCAGCTCATATACTTTCTTCAGAATAATGTTATTTAGATCGGTTTCTGATTTTAATGTGTGTTTCTAACTGGATCAGATGTAGCCAGACTGTAATATTTTTGCACAGGGTCAATTAAACATGAAAAGAAAGGGCGAGATATCAGACTTCTTTATAAAGAAGCACAAACAGGCAGATCAGGTTCAAACAGACCCTACCCTTTGCACTGGATCCCACAGCAGCTCCATACCTGAGACTAGTCAGAGTCAGTGTGGTCAGACTTCAGGTCCACCAGCAGGTCAGAGCATCTACCAGGCAATCACATGTTTCAACCAATGTTAGAATTTAAGCCGAGCTTCAGGAAAGTTCAACTAAAAAAAATCAAATTCTGTCATTACTTATTAACTCACAACAAAGTGAGTAGATGATGAGTAAATTATTATATTTTCATATTTTGAATTAATAAAATAAAACTTTTGAATTCCTTAATTTATTATTTCAACTTTATGAGTACAGTGCGTGTGTGTGTGGACCCCCTGAAATAGCAGTGGCCACCCCCTGGCCACCCCATGTAAAAAACTGTAGCCACTGATTTGAAATGATTCATATTCTAAAACTGTGTCGAATTACAAACACTTTTATGCCAAAGAAACAAACCTGTTTAATTTGAATGTTTCAGACAAACTTTTTTCTGAATAAATTCAAGAGCCTGTGGATGGCAAATATCAGGGCTTCTGTTATTGATCATAAACCTAGGTCTTTAACCACTGTGACACCTGCTGGTTAAAGATGAAACAGCAGTGTAGAATATTGAGCTACAGCACCTACCCAGCCAAATGCTGAGAATTATTGCAATTACAGTAGTTCCCCTGTATGTGCCCATGAGTACATTATTCTACAGTACTGTGCTCTCTACATTGAATGAAAGGGAATCTGATGTTTTAGCCTAATTCCCAAGAGCAGAAAGAGGAATGAAAAAATATCCAGTATCAAGAAATGACAGAGGAATGAAAATCATGCTTTTTATAACCCTCAAAGAACAAAGAAGCAATGGAGAACACAGGTTATTCCTACAGTATACAGTGAAAAATATATCACATAAGCCTACATAACTTGCAGTAACAAGCTGGCAAATTTCACCCAGTGACAACCTGTACTAGTGCATGGTTTGAAACTTATGAACTGTTTATTTCTGGAATTGTCCTTTTTTTTGGACTGCAGCAAACTGTGAATAATTGGAACCATGAATACAGGGGTCCCACTGCGATAAGTGTTAGGGAGAAAAGTGCAGTACATTTGAGTATTTTTCTAAATGTCCCAGGAAAAATGTACTTGTCTCATTTGTCATATTATGCTCTTGTTCTGTAATGTTTGAAAGAAAAAACTTAAACATGCTTAGTTACACTCCTTGAGACTAGACTATATACTTTGCTTTATCACACATATTTTGGTTACATGACATTTTAATGCCATTAATAAATTTGCCAACTAAATCTCTCCAATCCACAGCCTCCAAGATAATCACATACTTTAAATTAAAATTCCTTCATTCAACCATCTTCTATAGTTTTTATCCAAGACTGTTTCCATAAACACAAACTATACTGTGCATTCTCTGAACCATCCTAACTTACACCCTTGATCAGGTTGGTCATAAATGTCCCATAAGGCACCTTGTATACCGATGAGCCAAAACAAGGTCATAATGTATAAAATATGGGCTATCTTAGAAGATAAGCTAAGTTAGTACTCATAGTCGACGTTGAATGCAGAAAGATATGGGCAGGGATCAACACCTGTCACTCCAACTGGGTGTTGGGCAGCCAGGACTCATTAATTTACAGTCCCATTTGTTTACTCGTTTTACCTTACTGTGAATGCAAAAGAAAACGGCAGCCAAAGCCATGTTCTATGAATTAGTAGGGGTAACATTAGTGTACTGTAATGTGCTAGTGTGACAAATATCCGTTAAGCGATACTGTACTCGATTTTTACATCAAATATTTGTTTTTTTTTTTTAAAGGTAATGTATTAAGCTAACTTTTAAATGAAATTAAAGTGTTTTGGGAGGTTGACTGTGGTCATATTTAGGGTTTACACTATAGAAATAAGCACATATTACCATTTTTAGTGACTCTACCAAACATCCGCAAATTATCCTCATTCGCGACGGGTTCTGGAACCTAACCTCGCCCATGTCCGAGGTCTGACTATCAGTTTTTCTAAAATAGCAAATAAAATTATGAGGAACACCACAATGATAGACAATTCTGAACCTACCTGAATCATACATTCCATTCCTAGCTTACATTTATGAACTGAATAGTTTGCTTAAAAAGACTCAAATCAATCGGTTAAATAGGACTCACTGACCAAGCACAAAAAAAAAAAAAACAACAAATACCTTTAATTCTCTTTATTTAAAAAGTCGATTGATAGACCAGGATAAAGAAACAGAAATGAAATATGCTGGCACTGTATCTTACAGAAGACACATGGGAAGCTTAAGGTCCACCAGCTCCACTTCTGCAGATCTTGGATTTTATCCAAAAGTCAATAAGGGCAACCTAGAGGGGGCTATAAACGACATTACAAAAAGGAGGGCTTTGGCTTTAAAGGAAACAAGACAAAAGTGGGGGATTACAAATAAAAAACCTCAGGAAGCTTAGATATGGAGAAGCTTCCCCACTAGGCAGCAACTCAAAAAGGGCAGCCATTTTGAGTGAAATATTAGCTGGAATGTCATTTTTAAATAAAGCCCGGGATCTTTAAATCGGCAGATCACATCAAGTTAAATACTCTTCTGGGAACAGTTAACTTGTAAGCATTACCGAATCTTTTTAATCTTCAAACTTTTGGTGACTAGGGGGGCTGAACTGACCAGCACTATATTTTATATAAACTTACTTTAGAAAAAGGTAAGTTAAAATTAACTGTAGTTGCAGCCCTTAAAATTACATCTAGATGTTAGAGTTGGGGGAGGGGAGGTGGTGGGGTGTAGGAGGTAGAGTAGAAGAAAGAAAACTGGAAAGACGAGCACTTCGTAACAAAACATTCTAGTGATCTGGCTGCTAGCACTTAAAAACATCTCGGGAGGTCTCAGTCGGCTTCCTCTTCCTCAGACTCGGACTCTGGAAAACATACGGACACGCTGTCATGCTCAGCACCACTTATGGTAATCACAAGCACACTAAAAGGCTTAAAAAAAAAATCGAATGCAGTTGTTCTGAATAATCAGCTAATTAGCTTGCCACTTAACAGTGACTGACTTGGCACTTACCTTCTTCGGCGTTTTTGAGCCAGTCAACAAATTTTTTCATCTGCTCGAGGAAAACGCTCTTGCCTTTCGCCATGTGGGCATCGCTATACCACTTCAAAATGGCTTCCTCACTCAGGACATCCGCTATAGGAGAAAATCAAAGAGGCCACGTGAACGGGGCTGCCAGAGGGACAAGGTGGTGGTTGCCGCCCCTGATGAGGCAGTGCCAGGGTAACGTGCCTTTATAAAGCAGCACGACGATCTTCTGGAAGGCCTTCATGAAGTCAATGTTGTCGTAGCAGTACTCCTGGATCTTCAGCAGCAGGGTGAGCTCTGACAGGCCCTGGGAGGTGAAGGCTTTCAGGAGGGGGCTGTATTGCTAAAAGGGACATGACAAAACAAATAAAATTATAATAAAATATCAGAGCCCCAGATACTGTGAACTTACTATTAGACAGTTTGGGTGAATTTCCAACAGGGACATTTAACAAAGCAGTAATTCCTCTGAACATGGTGTCCTGAAATAATGGCAGTAAAAACTACTCAGGAGAAAAAAATTATAAAAATAAGAGACTTATTTTGCTGCCATTAAAGCAGCTTCACCTTCAAGTGTTTGATGGCTTGCTCAGTGACCAGCTCTTCTTTCTTGTTCCACTCCACGGAGCTCATCACACTGGTCCACACAATGCCAACCATGGTCTGCTCAGAGATGTTGGTCTTTTTCATTTCCTCCTTTACATAGGCAATGATCTATGGCACAGATACATTATATACTAGGGGTGAGCAATATGACCTAAAATTACTATCATGGTATTTTTCATTACTGTATTACTTTTTCCCAAGTTTTGGAAGCAGTAGCACGTTCTGTCCCTTTATGTAAATAAAAGATTTTATAATATGTTAAGTACACTTTAATTGATATTACAGTTGGGTATGGGTGGTCTTTGAAAAAGATATGAGAAAACATTACCTATGACACTGTATATTTGTTTTATAATTGTCAGACTAACAACACAAACAGAATGACAAGCTGCTTCGCCTGAAAATTGCATTTTACAGTTCATCTCAAATAAAACGTAGGGTTGCCAACTTTGGTCAGCTAGCTGGAGAGAGATTTTCGATTCGAAAAAAGTCTGCACATGCATGCGCACACACACCTTTATATGTAAATGTTTAACCTTGTAAACAGTCTGTAGAGTTCGCAAACTACCCCAATGCTTTTAATGTAGCTAATGTCAGGTTTATAATGGAATAATATAGATTTGTCGTAAGATTTCTTGCATGAGCCCGTGTCTGAAACCATGTCAGGCCAGATGCCTGAAAGCTGGCAACCCAGAAAAATAATTTTGTTTCAACCATGTTATAAAAGATATATAAAAAATTACATTCCTCTATGCAGTTATTAAAAACCGTAAACTTAGACGAACATGCAATAACAAGTAAACTACGTCTATTTACCTAACATTTTATAAAACACTGCTTTTGAAAACTTTTCAGCTGTACCATTTAAGGACTTACCAGCCACTCTGTTAGGTGTTAGATTCACTGCTGTTAACACTAACGGCACAAAAGCACAAAAAAAAGGTCTGCAAACACCAAAATACGTCTTACTTGGAGGTTAAAGGAGTTTGACTTTCATTGGTATGGGGAAAGGGGCGGTTCTAGTGTTAACTGGGTAGTAGTACCGTTTACCACAAACCTTGCATTACGGCAGCGGCACATATGCACATATATATGTATATATATGTATGTGTGTGTGTGTGTGTGTGTGTGTGGAAACAGGTGACTGTTTAATGTGTATAATTACACACATTATTATGAATTTTAATTTGCTATTGCAACATTGCAGAGTGCGTATAATAGAAAATTCAGACAACACAGCTAAACTGGTTACATATACTATTTAAGCACAAGTATTTAGATTACAAATTAATCTTTGAAGAAAATTAAATGCTATATTTTTTATAAATAGGCCATTGTATAATTAGGTTGTTGACTTATCGCGGTGTTAATGGTATACTGAAAATCCATATCGCGGTGTTAATGGTATACTGAAAATCCATATCGCGGTGTTAATGGTATACTGAAAATCCATATCGTGGTGCATAATGGCAGCGGTAATGACTGACACCGGTGTACCACCCACCCCTATTACATACTTACTTATATACAGCATTATCTGCCAATGTAAAATGTTCAAAGAATGTCCACACTGAGTATACTGTGTCTTATTAACAGACAATTTCAGTGTTTTCAAGACTACTGAATTACAGATCCCCCTCTGGTAAGAGGAAAATAACCAAATTTATCTTAAAAAAAGGATGTTATACTTGAAGTAACAGGAAAAGTGAGGAACGCTTTAGATCAAGAAGGTCAGCAAACATCCTGGAGCAGTTGCAATTCAGTGGCTTGATTACAGGACCCAACTGCTAGGGTGCTCCCTAATAAGGAACAATCATTGAAATTTCAATACTTGCTACATTTTGTTTCCTATCAATATTAATTAGTGTAGGTAAAAGAAGAATCAATTACAAGTTTACCATTGCTGCTTTTGGATGAGCTCAGCATTCACTCCCTAAACCAGTCAATCATTTTCCTAATAATCCAAGACAGCTTTGTGAAAATTTTTGAACTTGATGCCGTGCTTGATAAATATCCCAATATTTACTGCATATTAGAATTTGATCAGAATTAGAATTTGGTGATCAGTGGTCATTGTTAACACACCACAGCACAGCACACAGTGCGCAACAACGAAATGTGTCCTCTGCATTTGACCCATATGTGACTTTCGTGACATAGCAGGGGGCAGCTAATTCAGCGCCTGGGGAGCAGTGCTTGGGGACGGTACCTTGCTCAGGGTACCTCAGTGGTGACTGGCTGGTGGGGGATTCGAACCTGCAATCTTTCGATTATAAGTGTGCTTCCCTAACCATCAAGCCACCACTGCCCACAATCATATCATGCAATCATCAATATATCATCAATCATCATCAATATATCATGCAGGCCTAGCTTATTATAGCAAATACTTTTGTATCTCATTGAATCTGTTATTCCAACCAGATAACAACTGCAGCTTGGGTCCACGCATCCATCATTATTACTTCTTCCCCCCATTTTAAAACTTTGTCTATTGTTTTTAGAGTTAGTAACTATGCTTTTTCAAGATGGCAGATGGATTGTTTGCAAGGCAGCATCACAATATTATTATTAATAATAATAATTTTTAACTATTATTTTCTGATTTTGTAACTTTTTTTCCCCCAGGATGGCGACTGTATTGTGTGTTAGAGGCAGGCTATATGCATAACCAATTAGCAATAAATTGAGGTGCAAGTCCCACCACAAAGTACTGAAAAACTACCCCAGCTGGTTTGGTACTTTGGATATTGGAACTTTTGGTACTGGTACCTGACCAGAAATCAATCCAAAAGGGAAACTACAGAATTTTTATCCAAAAGCATGGATTCAAACCCAGAGTCTCCCACAGATGGGCACAGGATTGGGCAACTACACTGCAGAAACTGTAACTAGAACACTGTACATCTGTGAACAGCCATCAAACAGCAAGCGGGAAGCCAGACTAACATCTTTGAAAGGATCTCCACGTGACATCTGCTCCTGTAGCTCCTTCTGCAGCTCCTTTCGGGCCCCGATGGACTGCTGGTTCCGGGCAAAGTCCGACAGCTCCTTGAGCCCAGCATCGGTGAAGTATTTCGCAAAGTGCTCACAGCTCCGCTTGTTGGCAGGAAAAAGTTCCTGTACGAGACCGGAGAGCGAGGAAGTCTGCGTGTGAGATCAGGTAAAAATGGGCAACCAATCAGAGAAGGACCTTCATGTGGCCCGGATTACCATCAGTCGGTTGTCCATGCCGACCTTCCGGAGACTGGCAGCGACGGAGTTAATATCCTTCTCATTTATCCATGATTTAAACAGCTTAACAGCAAAGGCTGCAGACACACCTGGAAACAAGTAAGAGATCCTTGGAATATTTTGATAACTTTTCTGGACAGATTGCAAACTAAATTAAAAAGGAGGGAATGCAGTCAATCCTTTATATATCAACACATTTTGTTGCTTTCCCAATACTTCCCCAAAGTAGTTTTTATAATCAATCTATGCTGCAGGGTATTTTTCTTTTTTAATAGAATTAACTCAGATTTAACCAAGTAACTATAGAGTTCCACCTCCAGGAACTGTTAGGCTACAGATGTCTATGCCTACCTTCCTTGACAAGGTTCTCATTGAAGAGACTACTCAGAATGGAGGCTGATATGCTCCCATTTGCTAGTAGGATGCCTGTGAGCATGGCCAGCTTGTTACGCTCGGACTCTGTGAAACCCTTCAGGAACAGGAGAAGCTGCGGGGGACACAAACAGCTGTTCAACAGACATGCCTAGCTGCAGCACAGCAAGTCACTGTCACACAGAGTAAAAGTGACACTTCACTGTATAGGTACCGAAAACCAGTAAGCAGTTACATTCATAAGTGTGTTTAACAAAAACTAACAAATTTCATTTTTAATGTTAAAACTGGCTCACCTTCTTGATCTCCTCTTCAAAACCTTTCTCCAGGTACTTATAGCGCCTGATAAGTTTATTAAAAACCTAAAAACAAACCGAAGAATCAGGGCAAGCTGTAATGCAACATATTAAATATTAAAAGGTGCACAGTGATGCAAGAAGCCCACCTGAGCATACGCCTGCATGGTCTCCAGGTCTTCCTGTGCTTTAAAGAGACAGAACTCTGTACAGGTCATGTCATCAGACAGTGTTCCCCCTGGGGCTGAGCAGAATAGAAAAAAGCAGCAAATTTCAGAAGTCAAAAAGTGGTAGAACCAATGAGACATTAGCCTGGACTGATTAAATGATGGATATTCATCACCCTTACCCAGCATGCCACCAGCCACCAGGATGTCAAAAAGTGTCTCTGCATAGCGCCGGTAGTCAAGTTTGGCACCAGAGGCATCAAGGAACTTAGCTACCGCTTCCAGATCAGTGCCAGTTTGATTCAGACCTTGTACAATGCTTTCCTGAAACTGTGTAGGATCAAATCTCTCCTTTTCATCTACAGGATTAAAATAATAATAATAAACATTTGGTTAGGAACTTCTTTATAGGACTATTTAGACATGGTACCACTGCTCTTTCTGCAAGATCACTTCTGGGAAAATTATGCAAGTTTACAATTGTCCAAGACAAAAACTTCAGCAGTACCCACCTCTTTTCCTAGTTTTAAAACGCTGGCCGGTTAGCGTTGGCTTTTGCTGCTTTTGATTATTCATAAAAGACACCCTGTGGATAAGAGTGAAGTTACATTTACACAGAGTATAAAGGACTAAACACTTAAAATTTACAGTACGATTCTGTAACTACCGCATACATGCTTTCACATGCCAGCATCACAGTTAATATGGCAGCAATCAGCCTGCTGCTATCGTGAGGGGAACTGGACTACATCTCCCAGAAGGTCTCTGCTTCAGTCTGGCACGGGACTACATTTCCCAGAATGCCTCGGAGTCAGATGGACACGTGAACCCATTTTAGGTTTTAAAAAAGGAAGGCGAACAAAGGATTCTTTCCTTTTTATTAATTCGCCCATATATATGTATTACTTCCCACGGGGGGCGGCTTAAAACTATATACGTGTATACTTTTATGTAGAAGCCGATAGGACCGCACACATGGCTGGCCGTCAGCGCGCAGCCCCGGACGTCTCCAGCGGTCGGGAACGTCTGACATCGCATCCCTCTATCCTTTTAAAGCAGGCCTTGCAACAAGCCTCGTTTACATACAAATCCCAAAAAGATACTCATGCGCCCATTTTCAATGTTCCTGGTCTAACAGCCCTAGTGTATGCGTCGCGGTCTGAGTTTAAAATGCAACAAAACACAAAGCAGGCCAGCCACGGTGAGTCACGCAGCCATTTTGACACCACCAAGCTTAACGTACTGGGTAAGCGATCGGAAGGGTTTTTTTTTAAAAGAGGCAAGGGGGCCCACACGGGCTAAGTGGACCCAAACACACTGGGATATAGACAGCGAGGACAATCAACCCCGGAATAACATGGATTACAAAGGGAGAAGAGACCCCAAAATAAGACAGGGCCGCTGCTCTTGCACGGTCTCTGATCCCTAAACCTTACAACTACCCAATTCACTAGTTCCGTGATCATGTCTATAGAAACACTAGAAATCCGCTACTAATTGTTTCCACACAGGAAAGCCGGTATGCAGATGTAAAGAGGAATATTCTTGCACGCATAGTTGCAGATGAATTCTCCCTTTATTTAGGCCGTGAAGTTACACCGCCTGCCATAAAGGGAAGCATATTTGCAATCGCCCCATAAACGAAACCCAAAAAGGTGTTCGTCAGTGTGTGAACCCAAAAAATGTTCAATTCAAGTCGAGCAATACATTAAAAAAGAAAACGATCATGCGGAAGACTTACCGAAATAAATGCAGATCAAAAATGCGAGGACCTAGACTGCGACACGACTCAAAATCTCAACCCTCAACAATGTGTTTTCTCCCCTACAATGAAACGGACTCAAGTGCGGCGGCGCACGACTCATAAAATGTGGATCCTTACACTTTCCGACGGAGAACAAACTAGAAATAAGAGTTTAAAATGGAAATCATCCTATGTTACATAGATATAAATTGCATATTTTATCTGTCATATAGGTTAGTTCCACCAATTGATGCAGTTTGTGATTTTAAAATATATATATATAGATGTATCCCCCCTCCTTCATTTCCATAATTGTCCTGCCCAGTACTGTCTCTGCGTGTCGTAACGGTCGCTGGGACGCCGGCTATAGATCATTGTAGATTTTATCATCCTCAACATTTTGTACCAGGTCGTGTCAAGAGATTAAAAAAAGATTTTTCATGGGTCCGGTGTAATATGTCTAACGTTACACATGCATGCTTTAAACAACTCATCACTTCAGAGCATAAATCAATCTGGTACTCTGGTACCCTTAGATGGCGTCCTTATTTGCTATCAGATTGTTCATGTTTTCTAAACTGAAGATAAAAATAATAATTTCCCAACCAGATAAAAGCACAGTTTTAACCTAAATGGCTTAACCTAAATATTCAGATTATTAAGTGTGTCGTATTTGTATGAATGAGTGTAGCAGTAGAGTATCAGCTGAGTATTTAAATGATAAGTCGACTCCGTTTTATTATTTCCTTCTTGATTTAATTAATTAGGGAGGTACGCTGATCTGTACACTTGACTGCACAGTGCTGGGTGATTAAGAAAGACATGTCTGCGACAATGGAGTTTTCATGATCTCCCCATGCTGGGTGGGTTTTATGAGGTACTCCAGATCCCTCATCTACCTAGTTAAAATTTTATATTGCAACTGAATCTCTTCCTTAAAGTCAGAGTTACAGTATAATTATACAATAACCTGATGCACACATGATTTTATGATTTTGGATAATTTCATTACAATCACAACAGAAAAAAATGTTAATTTTGCACTGGGACAGTCATAGCGGGTGTATGATCATAATATGAATTCAACATTACAGATGGTGCTATATGCAATCAGAGTTGGGTAATTCAGGTCCAGAGAGTAAAAGTCCAGAATGGGATTTTGTTTCAACCAACCAGTTGAGTACTGTAACTCTTTGTGACTGTAACTCTTTATGCTCAACTGGTTGGTAGAAACAAAATCTTGATCTGGACTTTTACTTTCTGGACCTCAATTACCCAACTCTGTATGCAATTATGTGTTCCCATGGATAACCTGGCAGAAGAGATCATAAATGTTTCAGGGACAGTGTCACCTAATATTGTTAAACTTTTTCGATTTTTCCCCTTTAATCACCATGGGAGTTTTTGGTTTCTCTTGTTGTCTTATTATGATATTTTTTTTCCTCTTTTGTATTTAGCAAATGGGTTTAATGTTAGCGATGTGCATTTTGAGAAAGCAGAGTCAGACAATCCCTGGAACCATTGAGAGTTAAAGGGGAAAATTGCTCTGCTGGCTATGTGACCACAGGGGTGGTGTCCTAACACGCTGAGCCACACCTCCCCCAAAACCCATGATCTTTTGAGCTGGAATTGAACTAGTGACCCAAGGATGTCCACCTAAGGCACCTTAGTCATTAGGTCCACCATCTGAACTGTCAATGCTACTAAGACTGCAACCACACAAGCATGTTGTATATATCACTGTGACTGAAGTTGGCCATCATCTTTTTCTATCTGTGTATGTATCTGCTGTATGTATGAGAGCCATTGACACATTCTCTGTGCGAAAATACTTGATAAATAAACCTTATTTTCCTTTCTCTGCCCTGGTAGCATTATTGTTGCTTGCCCAGAGGAATAAACACATAATCGCACATTGTTGGCACAAATGTTCAAGTTCTTAACACTTTTTCCTCACACCTTCATGGTGGGAGTTTAAATCCCACCTCTGCTCTTTATTTGTGTGAGTTTGCATGTTTTCCTGGTGTTGTGTCATCATAAAGCTTCTCATAAAATAATAATAATAATATATTGCATTTATAGAGCACCTTTCACAGAACCCAGGTCACTTTACAATGAAAAAAGGAAAGCATTTAAGCAATTCAGGAAGAGAAATGTTCACTAAATAGGAGGTCTTTAAGTTTTAAAAGTGGAGAATGAGGAAGACAATTCCAGAGTTCTGGGGTAACGGAACTGAATGACCTGCACCCATACTGAGAAACCTGTTATGAGCGACAAGAAATAGATTACAGCTAGATAACCAGAGTGAAGGTTTTGAATTTGGTATGGGACATAACTGGTAACCAGTGTAACTGTGAGAGAATGGGGGTGAAGTGAGCAGACAGCTTATGAGTAATGACTATTGCACCACACTTCTGAATAAACTGAATCTTTTGTAAAGATTTTGCATAAAGGCCAATTAAATGGCAATTACGAAAGACAATATGGGGAATAATGAAAGCATGAACCAGAGCTTGCTCATTATTACTTCTGAGAAACAGCTGCAGACACGCAAAATTACAAGAGGGAGGACCGGATATGCTGATCAAAGTTTAGTCACTCTTAAGAGGAGAGGTAGGAGACTTCAGTTTGCCTAAAGTGACATACTGTTGTCTGTTTATGAGATATGACCTTAACCAGAGAAGGGTTAAGGGAGGACAGATGAGCAATGAGGACTTCATGATTTACAGTGGCAAGTGCTGCACTTAGATGGAGGAGGAGAAGAATGTTAAGAGTACCATCATCAGCAGACCTGAGAAAATCATTGACAACTCACAAATGAGCTTTCATAGAACTGTGCTGTTTGCGGAAACCAGATTGAAAAGGCTCATAGAGGGCATTTACCTGAAGAAAACTGTGAAGTTGCATAGCTATCACTCATTTGCTAGAAATGAACAAATTGAGGTAGGGGTATAATTAGAAAGAGATAGAAAATTATCTTAACATCAAGCCAGTGTTTTAGCTTTCTTTGACATACGTTATTAGCTGTTGTTCAAATAAAGTGACACACAAATTAAATTAACTAAAAAATTGTATTATCAAGCTATCTGAGCTTGGATGGGCGGAGTGATGGCTCTGAGGCTAGAGATCTATGCCAGCAATGGGAAGATTGCTGGTTTGAATCCCGTGAATGCCAGGAATGATCCTACTCCATTAAGCCCTTGAGCAAGGCCCTTAACCTGCAATTGCTTTGTCCTGAGTATGATGTTAATCTACGTCCTATAAGCAGGTCCTCCAACTTACAAGGAAAATTTGGGGGTTGGTGGCATGATTGGCACTCCAGCCACTGGAAAAACTCACACTGTTCCATTCAGACTAGTGGGGTGCTGAGGTATCACCTGCCACATGGCTGCACTTAGGCTCTCTTCCCTGACGTGGTTTGTCGTGTGGAGGGCGCAGCAACGTGCTGTATGCTCCTTACCCGTCTCTAGGCTTGGGTAAGTGTTGCTGCCTCCAATCTAACTTTTTTTTTTTTTAATTTTATTTTCCAAGTACCTAACTCTGTTTGAAGGTGACAGATAACATCAACAGGAAATGTTTTTATGGTTACCCAGCAACCTGATCCTGGAACCACTCAGCACAAGGATTTTTTCTTTATCTTCTCGTAAATAAAACTCTTATTTTGTGTTCAGCATCATAAATCTGTTGTTCAGTTAAACATTTATATGGAATGACAGAATCGATGAATCCATCATTTGGAAAGTGGAAATATGTGTTTTGCAGTTAATCTGCTAAAACATTAATAATATTTTCAAGAGTGCACTGTTCTGTACTTTTTGGACAAAAGTATTGGGAGACACCTTTTACTCATTGAATTCAGGTGTTTCATTCAGACTCATTGCCACATGTGTAAAAAAAGAAGTACCTAGACATGCAGTTAAGTTTACTTGAATGGCATAAACCACTCTTACTTTACAATATTTATGTTGATACTAGTTATTTCAGCTACAGAATTCAACTTCTGACCAAAAGGATGTTGGTTCAAATCTCAGTGGAAACCATCTTGTTGTGCCTTTAGTATGCATCTTACTGCCTGTCTATACTGATAATGTATAACTATTGATGCCTGTTGAATAAAGGTGTCTGCTTAAAAGGCATGAAATAATAATAATAATAATAATATGGCAGAAATAAAAACATGGTTCAAAATGAAAATCATACTGACTTGGATGTCTCCTAGGATAAAAAGGTCCGCACCTGTAGAGTAGCCAGAGATCCACGGTTGAAAAATGGGGTACAGTCTCCCTTGGCCACCCAAGTATGGCTACTGCAATGGCTGCTCAGCTGAGAAGTGGATTAAGACATAAGAACCAACCGTCTGAGGATGTTTCAGGGGCTCAACACCTGACCACCGAAACAAAAACACCGGTGCAGGAAATGGATACCTGAAATTAATACTTTCATCATGCATACCTATTATACTGTAACACAACTAGAAACAGACAATACACAACACAGGCAAAAACTGCACACATCCTTCATACAGGAATACCCCAACATTAAGATCACAGAACAAGGAATAGCAGATCAAAAACGTACAATCCTTATTAATAACCTTATTCAACAAACAACACTGGACAAAGTCAAACACCAAGTTGCAGCCAAATTACACAAAGAAAGACAGGATCAATGCAGGATCAACACACACCCACACATCACGGAGTTGGACCACAGCCATGAAACCTCACAAACTGACAGGACAACTGCTGCAACAATAGAAGAATCTAATGAGGCACCAGTGCAGACACAATCTACCTCAGACCCTACAATAATACAACCACTAAATCATAACATAAATAGTTAAGTTACACTCACACTGTACCTAGGAACTGACCCCACCCACAATTACACCCAGAATACATACATTACACTACAAAAGGCAACAATAATCTACACGTTTTACAATGGAGAATACCAAAAAATACATTTCTAGAGAATAATACAAAAACAGGTGTATGTCAGGTGTAACAGGTGTAATTTTAACAGGTGTGTCTTGTGTATGATCGGGTAGCGGGAAAGCAGATCCAGGAGACAGAAATCCAAAGGACGGGGTTTATTCACAGACTGGGTAACTACACAGGACAAACATCAATGACAGATCTGGGAAAC